GTAGCAACTTTGGCTCCCCTCCCACAGATTATCTGGGCATGTAAATGACCTAAGACAGATACACTGTCATTTTCTCATGCTGTGATTTTACTTACACCCCCCTGTGGTACATGACAATAAAATTACCCCTCTTGTTCCTTTCCCACAGACAATCTTGCAGGCTTGTCAGTCAGCATCACGTGCGCAGTCCTCCATCAATTGCTTTTGGGACTTAGGGGGTGATTTGGAAAGGATCTGTTGTGCTGTAATTCACCTCTGTTTGCCTTTAGAAGAAGGATTCTGGTTTCCATGCTGTTTCCTCTTGCACCTGTATGGCTCTTTGACCACAATTTGACTCCTCAGGCCTTCAGAATTACAGGTACCTTCTAAGGTTTGCCCATAATCCTAGGGACGTGTTGTTTCCTGAAAAGCTACGGACTTTGCTTGCTCCTGACTCGTGATTATCAGCTGTTTCTGAGGGAATCTGTGATTCTGCTGTTGCCACAGACTTCCTGTTTCTTATTTAAGTGGTATTTGGGCCTAAATACTCCTCACTTTCTCTTTTGCCATCGTCTGACCTTCTGCATTTTCACTTTAAAATAAGGAAGATTTCAATATTGATTCCATTTCTCTCTCTTTCATTTTTGTCCCCACTGACCCTTTTGCACAAGGTACAACCAGACCTGCACCAGTAACTGGGGTGGAGAGCCTGCAGGAGCCTGCTGCGCTCACCACCACTTGTTAACAAGGTTCCTGTCTTGAAAGCACAAGAGCTCTGACATGCCAGCAAGGTCTCTGGCAAATAAAACCCTTCTGCTTTCTCATCTTCCTCCCCAGAAGACTCTATACATACACTAAAGTGTACGCTCTTGGGGCTGAGTTTGAGCCGGTCAAGCCAGGATCAGAACTGCTTCCAGACAGGAAGCTTCTTTAATCAATTATTTCTCTTTTTTCTGCTTATTATACAGTGTGTACTTCCGACACCAGGGGAAATGGGTATCAGAGTTGGCTGCCAGCTGCAAGCCTACAGCCATGTTCTTCTTCCCGGGGCAGACCCGTGTGGTGGGATGCCCCCTGCTCCCGAGCAATGCCAGCGGGGTGTGGAACTGCTCAGGGCATCCTCATCTATAGGAATCCCCTGCATCATGCAAGTAATGGGGTTAGCGAGGGGTTGGGGACAGAGGTTATTGAGCATTTCAATATGTTTGTAGAGATTATTTCAGGCTTGAGGAGGGATTTTTAGAGAAAAGACAAGCAAGGAGGAAGACAGTGCATCGGCGGTGATTTCCAGCCCTTGGGCAGTGGGTGACTTCTATGGAGACAGACATTTTTCAGTGGGTTCAAATCCGTTGTGCAAAGGCCACGTCTAGATCAGGTAATTTTTTTAGAGGCATGAAAGGTCTGAGCATGTAATCATTCCCTCTGGAGAGAGGGAACAGAGAGCAGCTGAGGAAGACAGATTTTCCAAAGTATTGTTTGAAGAAGTTTGATATTCCCTGACCTGCAGAGGATGGGGAGCTCTCTGAAGGACGGGTGTGTTTCTACATGCTTTTATTTTGAAGCTCTTTCTCTCAGAATATACAGGATTTGCTTTATGAATACTGTGTGACCACTGCATACCCTACCAAGCTCCTAGCAGGGGGAATGGCCATGATGTCTTGGGAATTGGGTCTAACAGAGGTGATGGCTGGGAGATTAAAATTAGAAGATGATGCACTTCTCAAGAGTGGAGAGCTTAGAGGAGAAGGTGTCTGGCTGTGCAAAAAGCTTCCTGCCCACAGGACGCAGCTCTTTCCTTGCACTGTCTGCCCCAGAGAAGTGATTGTTCAGATTTATTTTCCCAGCTGAGTGTGTAGAGCCAGTGTGAGTGCTGGAGCTCGGTGTTCCTTTCCCTTCCTGCATCTCCTGCTCTCTGGCAGAAAGGGAAAAGCAGTGAGGGAGGAGTACACAAAAGGAGTACACCGAGCTAGCCCTAAAAGCAGTAATTAAATATGATTGCTGTCAGCAGCTCTCAGCCTGAGAGCTCCAGCCAGTCGTGTTGGTCTGTAAAAGGAGTGATCACCCGTGCTTTGACTTTGGGACCGGAGCATCCAGCTGAGGTCTGTGTTCAGGAGCAAACTGGCAGGGCTTTGCAGGGAGAGATTGAACTCCCTTCATCCATCCCGGCTCTGGCAGATGGATCAGAGCCCTCTCTGCCAGCAGACATCCCCTGCCTGCTGAAGAAATGAAGTGCAAGTTCATCTTGCTCTTAACTTGGTGTTCTGCCTCCACGTTCATGAAGGAAATTACTTCCATTTTTCTGTAATATTCTTTGTATTTTATAATATCGCTTGTGACCTCCTGGTCAGACGTTTCAGGAAATTTAATGACCAGCTGTGAGAAGGGACCTTGGCTTCACCTTCTGTCTTCCAGGCTTGCATAAGCTGCCAAACTCATTACTGGCATGTGCAGCAGCCCTGATGTTACCTGGGGGTTAGCAAGGTAAAGTTTTCCTACACACTTCTTCTCCTGCCTGAATTCTGGGCAAATAGGGTTCACAAATCCCTATTTGTACAAGCAGAAAATGTCATTATTCTGTCCAATTATAATCCCAAACGTAAAAATTAATTGAGGCAGGTATTAAATTAAGCAGGTTTTGCTTGAGTAAATATTTTCCATTTTGGAGCCTAATCTATTCACATAATAATCTAAAGCAATTTTATTAATTTATTTTTGGTTTGCAAAAAAAAATAATAATGTCTGTTCCATTAGGAGCTGTCGCTGGCTTAAGAGGATTTTACTCCCGTTTTATGGTTTGGTTCAAAGAAAATTTATTCTTGCAATAGGTTTAATGATTCTTAGCTAACGTTGTCTTCCCAGCTGCAGTTGGACTGTAATAAAAAAAAAAACCTTTGGCTTTTGTTAGACTTGCACATTCTTGGCTGCCAATAATGATTAATCTTTCCCCCTACAAGATCATCTTATTACTTGGGTTTGACTTAGGAGCTGCCGTTCCCTCCGGAGCTTGGGAAGGGCTTTCTCCCAGCGCGGTGCTGGTGCAGCGCAGGTGTGACCTGCACTGCCTCCCTTTGTAGTCTCTCTTTGCCCCTTAATTGCTGATCCGCGGCGCTCCGCTTTCTGAGCTGCTCCACGCAGCAATGCTATTTTGGGAAATGACAGAGAATTAATTGCAAGAGGAATTCCTGAATACTTCCATGCACGGAAGAGCCCTCGGCGTCCCCGGCTGCCCAGCGGGGAGGATTGTCTAGATGGACGGGTCAGTGCGGAGATGGGGAGGGTGGGGGGCAGGCTCCCACCCCCCCCTCACCTTGGGCACCCCGCAGAGGGCTCTGACCCCCACCCGAATCCATCTACCCCACTGCCATCTCTCAGCTCTGCTTAAAAGCCCTTCCCCCTGATGGGATGATGTGGGGCAGCGTCCCCACAGCTCTCAGCAGGACAGCCCCTATCCCAGCCATCCAGGTGCAGAACATCCTGCTCACCTTGGCGGTGCCGGTCCCCTCTCCGTGCCCAGGGAGGGATGGGAATGCACCCCAAAGGTGCAGGAGGAGGCTGGGAGTGTTGGGCTGCTCTAGGTAGATGTGTGTGAAAATGTTCCAGTGGATGATTTTGGGGCATGGCCAAACATATGGGACCAGAGCTTCACGCTGAGAAAATTTGTGTTTTAATTTGTGGCCATCTTGGCAGCGTTTTAATGGCTCGTAGTAATAAAAACCCTGGGAACAGGAAGAGAAAGAGATGCTGAACCCATTTGAGAGAGACCTCGGCCATTAACGGGACACACGTGCTTTCTGATCAGCTTGTCACATCAAGCATAAGTGAACTCGTGGCAGATGAATTTGCTGTGCTGCCTCTCTGCCTTTGCCTGGGGGATCTTTTGGGCAAGGTGATCCCACCAGAGATGTTGCATAAAGGAATCTCTTCCCCCTCTCTGTGCTGTGAAAGGTGGCTCCTTCTAGGGCTGAACCGGCAGCTCCTTGTATGAAAAGAAGTGATGTGCAGCGCCAGCAATTAAAACTGAAGTGGAAAATGCATGAGATGTTTGGGCTGGCATCTCGAGTTCCTTTTAGAGAGCCTTTGGAAGCAGACATGAGTAGTGAGGGCTGGTGTTTTCCATCCCTCTGAGCCCCGCTGCACACGGGAGAAAAGGCTGCGTTTGGACAATGGTTGTCAGCAGTGAGAGCCGCAGGACCGGTGCCTCGCTCCCAGCACAGACAAAGACAAACTGTGCTCAGCGTCGTTTCAGAAACCAAGGTTAAGTGTCGGGCTGGCCCAAGCAGGTTTTATGAGCAGCCTTAACATAACAAGCCCATATGGGTGCAAGGGGGGGAGCATAAATGCTTTTTGGAAAGGAGAATTGCTTCACTTTCCAATTTTTAAAGGCTTATGATAAATCATAGCCTGAACGCTCAAACACGGGAGCCCCAGTGGCTTTACTGCCCATCTCGACGGGAAATAATGGGTGTTAGGAGAGACACAGCTGGGCACTGGTGCACACCCAGTCACCAGGAGGAAGCAGAAAGATGCTAGCATGAATTTCAGACAGTGGGTTTCTCAAGGCTCAGGGAGCGCTGGGGTGTCCCTGTGGGTTGATGCTCCTCTGAAAGGGCTTGAATCTGAAGGTGCTTTGTTGCTGGAACAGAGCCATAGGGGCAAGCGAAACTAATTGCAAAATTCTGGTCAAATTCAGTAGGTGGTTTCAGCCAGGGAAACCCACCCAGCTCTCAGGTGGGCTTAGAGCTTTTGTTTCTGACTTTTTTTTAAATAAAAATGGCTCACGTGTCCATTTGGAAGAGCCATTTTGTGCAGAAATTTGGCTGGCTGACATTTTTTTAGCTGTACAAAGTCTTCTGAAACCAAAACCAAAAAAATTTTCGTTTGGCTTGGCCAGTCTGTGCAATTGGCTCTAAAAATGTTTTTAGATTTGGGTTTTTAGCTATTTTTTTTTGCTTCAGCAAAGGAACCTGACAATCTTTTGTTACGGGTTGGAGATTTTTTTTTTCCCCTGTTTTTTCTTTTAGTTCAGTCCTTGAGAGTTCCTCCAGCTTCCTCTGGCGTTCCTGCTGCCTGAGATGTTCTGCTGTGTTGGGAGACCCCCTCCATCCTCTCCCTGGTGAGGAAGAGGACGCAACTGTGCCCTGGAAGACCAGCTGGGTGGAGAGCGAAGGCAGGACTGGCTCTGGGAGTGGGCTCCTGATGATGAGGTTGAGATTAAATGTGGATGAACATCACTCCCCCCCTGCTGATGGAGAAACACAGTTTCCTTGCCTCTCTCTGCCTGCCCTTCAACACCAAATGGGTGAGTTTTTTTTTTTTCAATCCTTGTACCCATATTTCTTTCCAACTGCTGGGTCGGGGTTGCCATATCATGTGTAGAGAGCATGTTTTCACCATCCTTGGTGTTCCAGCTGGCTGCCCATCCCCACCTACCCCTCTCTGATGCTATTTCTGGGCTCAGAGCACTTCTCACCTTCCTTGAGCGAAGGCCATATTTTCTCACATCTTGCTCAGCCATTCAAGTAACGTAACGAACTTTTTCTGCTGTGTGTGGGTATGAAGGGGACTGACAAAGGATGGCTTTTGCTTTTAACCCTCTGTTTCTTCTACCAAAGCCTTTCATGCCCTGCGTTCAGCCCCCGGACTGGGCAGTCCCAGGGCTGTCCTGGGGGGGCTGCTGGGGTCACGGGTGTTTCAGCTGAGCTCGCTGCGCTCTGCTGACGCATCGCCGTGTGCGCAGGCACTTCAAAGAGGTCTCCACCGACAGGAAGCAGGGTACATTAGAAGCACACTGAGGCTTTTATTTTATGCCAGGACTTCAAAATGTTCTCCATGGTATTTCTGAGGCCCCGCTTTTAACCACTCTTAATACAGGAGGCCAGTCTCCGTGAGCCACACACCATGTCTTCATGGGATGAGAGTCACAAGACACTTGACATTCATGGGAGAGCCAAGGGGCTCTGGAGGAGGTTCAGGACTGGCTCCTTCAGGTCTGCTTCCTCTAGCAGTGGGGAGTCTGCTCACCCACAGCAGCCCCCGGCTAGTCTCTCCGCCCCAGGCACTACTCTGGAGCCTGAGGTTGGTTGTCCCCACTGCAGCTGACATGGCTATGGCACCCTAGGGACACGCCACCTCCCTTGGAGTGTGCTCAGGGAGGCAGTGCTGTGGTAGCCAGAGGTCCTGGCAGGCCTGGGGAGTGGGTGCTGCTGGGATTTTGCTGCCTCTTCTTTTCCTTCATACGTTTGCACCCTTTCCAACCATGCGTCAGCTCCACTCCCACAGGAGCACTGGGAAGAACATGCTCCAGCTGCTGTCCCTCCATGGTTTCTCCCCAGCAATGTAAACAGTTTACAGGGGACTTTGTAAACAGCAGATTTGTTTAGGATATTGTCTGCATTCCCGCTGTGTTCAGCAGCACAGGGGGAAGGCTGACCTGCCGGCTGGAGGTCTGCGGCTCGCGTTGTCGGGAACGACCGAGAGGAAGGAGTTGTGTACACTCCTGCATTCCCTGTGAGCCTGGTGGATTTGGGGGATCACACCGGGGTCACACGCACACACCGTGGCTGCAGGGAGATGTTTCTGCATCCAGCAGAGAGGAGAGCTGGCCTGGGATGCTGCTGAGCCCTTTGCAGGATGTGGTTGCGTGAGAGAACGTCGTGTATGCTGGACACAGAGCTTGCTTGCTCACTGCCCAGGGCACTGGGAGAGAGATGATAAATCTTCAAAGATAGGAGCTTCATTTCAGATAAGCGCTGCCTTTTTGAAAAGTCTCAGAAAGTGGTTGACTCCCTGGGGAAGCTGATTGTCCACCCGGAGAAAGGAGGCTCTTAAATCAACTCGGCCTCCATCCCGTGGGAGTGACATCTGAAGATGTCTGTTCTCCCTTCAGAGCTCCTCACACAGGGATTCAGCCTGCACTCATCAGGAGGAGGTCAGCTTCCCTCCACCACCCCTCGACCTTTGTTAAGGAGCAGAGATGGGAGAGAACAACATCTACCTGAGCTTCTGCATCTGCCACAGGAGCTTTGTCAAATTTGATGAGGGAGGAGTACACAAAAGGAGTACACCGAGCTAGCCCTAAAAGCAGTAATTAAATATGATTGCTGTCAGCAGCTCTCAGCCTGAGAGCTCCAGCCAGTCGTGTTGGTCTGTAAAAGGAGTGATCACCCGTGCTTCGACTTTGGAACCGGAGCATCCAGCTGAGGTCTGTGTTCAGGAGCAAACTGGCAGGGCTTTGCAGGGAGAGATTGAACTCCCTTCATCCATCCCGGCTCTGGCAGATGGATCAGAGCCCTCTCTGCCAGCAGACATCCCCTGCCTGCTGAAGAAATGAAGTGCAAGTTCATCTTGCTCTTAACTTGGTGTTCTGCCTCCACGTTCATGAAGGAAATTACTTCCATTTTTCTGTAATATTCTTTGTATTTTATAATATCGCTTGTGACCTCCTGGTCAGACGTTTCAGGAAATTTAATGACCAGCTGTGAGAAGGGACCTTGGCTTCACCTTCTGTCTTCCAGGCTTGCATAAGCTGCCAAACTCATTACTGGCATGTGCAGCAGCCCTGATGTTACCTGGGGGTTAGCAAGGTAAAGTTTTCCTACACACTTCTTCTCCTGCCTGAATTCTGGGCAAATAGGGTTCACAAATCCCTATTTGTACAAGCAGAAAATGTCATTATTCTGTCCAATTATAATCCCAAACGTAAAAATTAATTGAGGCAGGTATTAAATTAAGCAGGTTTTGCTTGAGTAAATATTTTCCATTTTGGAGCCTAATCTATTCACATAATAATCTAAAGCAATTTTATTAATTTATTTTTGGTTTGCAAAAAAAAATAATAATGTCTGTTCCATTAGGAGCTGTCGCTGGCTTAAGAGGATTTTACTCCCGTTTTATGGTTTGGTTCAAAGAAAATTTATTCTTGCAATAGGTTTAATGATTCTTAGCTAACGTTGTCTTCCCAGCTGCAGTTGGACTGTAATAAAAAAAAAAACCTTTGGCTTTTGTTAGACTTGCACATTCTTGGCTGCCAATAATGATTAATCTTTCCCCCTACAAGATCATCTTATTACTTGGGTTTGACTTAGGAGCTGCCGTTCCCTCCGGAGCTTGGTAAGGGCTTTCTCCCAGCGCGGTGCTGGTGCAGCGCAGGTGTGACCTGCACTGCCTCCCTTTGTAGTCTCTCTTTGCCCCTTAATTGCTGATCCGCGGCGCTCCGCTTTCTGAGCTGCTCCACGCAGCAATGCTATTTTGGGAAATGACAGAGAATTAATTGCAAGAGGAATTCCTGAATACTTCCATGCACGGAAGAGCCCTCGGCGTCCCCGGCTGCCCAGCGGGGAGGATTGTCTAGATGGACGGGTCAGTGCGGAGATGGGGAGGGTGGGGGGCAGGCTCCCACCCCCCCCTCACCTTGGGCACCCCGCAGAGGGCTCTGACCCCCACCCGAATCCATCTACCCCACTGCCATCTCTCAGCTCTGCTTAAAAGCCCTTCCCCCTGATGGGATGATGTGGGGCAGCGTCCCCACAGCTCTCAGCAGGACAGCCCCTATCCCAGCCATCCAGGTGCAGAACATCCTGCTCACCTTGGCGGTGCCGGTCCCCTCTCCGTGCCCAGGGAGGGATGGGAATGCACCCCAAAGGTGCAGGAGGAGGCTGGGAGTGTTGGGCTGCTCTAGGTAGATGTGTGTGAAAATGTTCCAGTGGATGATTTTGGGGCATGGCCAAACATATGGGACCAGAGCTTCACGCTGAGAAAATTTGTGTTTTAATTTGTGGCCATCTTGGCAGCGTTTTAATGGCTCGTAGTAATAAAAACCCTGGGAACAGGAAGAGAAAGAGATGCTGAACCCATTTGAGAGAGACCTCGGCCATTAACGGGACACACGTGCTTTCTGATCAGCTTGTCACATCAAGCATAAGTGAACTCGTGGCAGATGAATTTGCTGTGCTGCCTCTCTGCCTTTGCCTGGGGGATCTTTTGGGCAAGGTGATCCCACCAGAGATGTTGCATAAAGGAATCTCTTCCCCCTCTCTGTGCTGTGAAAGGTGGCTCCTTCTAGGGCTGAACCGGCAGCTCCTTGTATGAAAAGAAGTGATGTGCAGCGCCAGCAATTAAAACTGAAGTGGAAAATGCATGAGATGTTTGGGCTGGCATCTCGAGTTCCTTTTAGAGAGCCTTTGGAAGCAGACATGAGTAGTGAGGGCTGGTGTTTTCCATCCCTCTGAGCCCCGCTGCACACGGGAGAAAAGGCTGCGTTTGGACAATGGTTGTCAGCAGTGAGAGCCGCAGGACCGGTGCCTCGCTCCCAGCACAGACAAAGACAAACTGTGCTCAGCGTCGTTTCAGAAACCAAGGTTAAGTGTCGGGCTGGCCCAAGCAGGTTTTATGAGCAGCCTTAACATAACAAGCCCATATGGGTGCAAGGGGGGGAGCATAAATGCTTTTTGGAAAGGAGAATTGCTTCACTTTCCAATTTTTAAAGGCTTATGATAAATCATAGCCTGAACGCTCAAACACGGGAGCCCCAGTGGCTTTACTGCCCATCTCGACGGGAAATAATGGGTGTTAGGAGAGACACAGCTGGGCACTGGTGCACACCCAGTCACCAGGAGGAAGCAGAAAGATGCTAGCATGAATTTCAGACAGTGGGTTTCTCAAGGCTCAGGGAGCGCTGGGGTGTCCCTGTGGGTTGATGCTCCTCTGAAAGGGCTTGAATCTGAAGGTGCTTTGTTGCTGGAACAGAGCCATAGGGGCAAGCGAAACTAATTGCAAAATTCTGGTCAAATTCAGTAGGTGGTTTCAGCCAAGGAAACCCACCCAGCACTCAGGTGGGCTTAGAGCTTCAGTTGTTTCTGACTTTTTTTTAAATAAAAATGGCTCACGTGTCCATTTGGAAGAGCCATTTTGTGCAGAAACTCAGGTGGGCTTAGAGCTTCAGTTGTTTCTGACTTTTTTTTAAATAAAAATGGCTCACGTGTCCATTTTGAAGAGCCATTTTGGCTGGCTGACATTTTTTTAGCTGTACAAAGTCTTCTGAAACCAAAACCAAAAAAATTTTCGTTTGGCTTGGCCAGTCTGTGCAATTGGCTCTAAAAATGTTTTTAGATTTGGGTTTTTAGCTATTTTTTTTTGCTTCAGCAAAGGAACC